TGGTGGTGGTGGTGTGTATGGAGGTAACATGAATGGCCCATGATCGGTAAGTGAAAATGTGTGTGGGCTACGGCAACTTCATATCAAGCTTAATTACATTACGGAGACGAATAAAGATGTTTTCCCCCTTATGTTTTCATAATTGATGCCTTATTCGTAGTCTACATTTTTCATGTTAAACCCTAAATACCATATCAATATGAATTCAAAGAATCCAATCTATTCAAACCATTATCAAGCTGTCCAATGTTAAATTAGTTTTTTTAATCTGTAAAATGGGATAATCTCAAGATATTTATAGGAAAATTGACATATGTATCCTATATGAAAGATTTTTTTTTACAGAAACTGTGAGATCTGACGAACTTTCGATATCAAAAGAAAGAGTAAAATACTTTAACTATGACTGTGTTATCTCTTGCACAAAATATTTAAATTCAAATAATGAATCGCAGCCGGCCATGAACCTGAAATATGATAAATTATCTTGTACCTTTTGGTTTCATAAAAAAACAACATTTTCCGATTCACTGGACATTGGCTGAGTTGCGAGGCTCCACCATCCATTAATATGCTATCAGCTTCCACGCCCACCAAATATTCCATATTATATTCATTATACCTATTTAACTCCAATGTTTATCCACGTTATTACACAATCAGTGCCTGCTCTGCCTCTGCCTCTCTCCTCGGTCATCACATATTCCCACTTTGCACACCAAGTGTTCGATAAAATGYCTCACTATAATAATCCGCTCTCATAAGCCTTCGATTCTGGCATCGCGCCAGGTGTTGTTGAGAGGTGGCACCGGACGGACAAACTCTACCGCTGACTCCCGACATGTGCTCACTTCAAAGGCTCAAAAGTAGAGGACGAGACAATAATGAATTTCCTTTTCCAACTTCCACGTGTGAACGAGGTGGCCAGTTTTCAAAACCACAACTCTCCCCAACTACTCCATTAATTGATTGCACTTGCACCCACCACACGGCGTCGTTTGTTATTGAATAGAATAATTTTTGTACAGTTTCTTTCCACTGCTATTTGTGCTATCATCACTGGCTCCCATTGTATCCATCGGTGAAGAAACTCCTACATATATCCACGAAGTTCTGCAATTGGGGCTACGTGATTGATTCTGAATCTGAAAACCTTCCACTTGGGAAATGGGCGGAGGCAATGGCCAGAAGGCYAGAATGGCTCGGGAGAGGAACATGGAGAAACAAAAGTCCTCCAGAGGTAATTTGATTTAATTAATTAACCTGCCACTCAAACCTCTCTGTTTGGTTTATGACCCACCAAATTTAGCTCCTAGCTTATTTCCACATCAAGGATTGTAGCTAAAAAGATAATTACTTCAATTTTTATTGTTTTTCTTCATTTGGGGGGGAAGATGATGATTTCCCTTTATAAAGTTTTAGAGTTGATTGGAATAATTTCCACAGGAAGTCAGCTGGAAACAAACAAGAAAGCCATGACAATACAGGTAATCCTGAGTCTAAATCTTAATTATGTTCTGATTTCTTTTGTAATCTTTGTAACTTGAAAGATTCAATCATACTATGCGCTGAAACTATGTTACACCTACACGTCAACTTTTGGTTAACAAATTAAACAGATTTGTATGGACAAATTAAGGACTAACTCAGTATATTTAGTGTAGAATGAGTTAGAAATTGCAGTGTTTTGGATCTTGAAAGTGGGTTTATTGTGAATTGTTGCAGTGCAAGGTATGCATGCAGACGTTTATATGTACAACTACAGAGGTGAAGTGCAGAGAACATGCAGAAGCAAGGCACCCGAAATCTGAATTATATGCCTGTTTTCCCCATCTTAAGAAATGATCCCTAAACTTTATCCCCCCTCTTCTCTTTTTGCACTATTAATACCATAATAGAATCTACTAAAAAAGATTCAATGTTTCCACTCTGTTGGCTATGATTTTAATTTAAATATCAGAAATGGAGTCAATGAGATGTTATTCATGTTTGCTTGGGAGTTTTCTTAGTTCATTGGATGGGATTTAAACCAACCTTGGAAACGCTTCGCGAGTTATAATAATATTACTCCTTAGAAATTAAGAATTTTTCTGTTCTTGGCAGAGAGCGACCTTAGGCTCAAGGGTTAATATAAATTTATGGCTACCTTTTAAAGTAATTGAGATAGAAGTATTATTGTTAGAGTAATTGGGATAAAAATGAAATTGAAAAATTGAAGGGTAAATAATCACTTAATATTTTAAAACTATAAAGCATAAGGATTAAAATGGATATTTACAAATATATATACACTTTAACAATATATATATATAGGAACTAAAATAATATTCATTAAAAAGGATTAAAATGGATGTTTACCTACAGAAAAGTAAAAAATATACAGGAACTAAAATAATATACTAAAAGAATATTCATTAAAACGAAAAAAAAATATAGGAACTAAAGAGTAATATAGAAAAAAAAAATTTGAGCTAAAAATAGTACCTAAATTAAAATAGACGGAAAAAAAAAAGAAAAAAATATAGGAACTACAGAGTAGTATAGAAAAATTTTCTTTAAAGTTAAAAATAGTACATAAATTAAAATATAGACGTTTTAAAACTAAAAAAAAAGTAGTATAGATTCTTTTTATTAGTACATAAATTAAAATAGACTTTTTAAAACTACCCTAATTAAAATGTGATCATAATAAACAAAATTTAAAAGTGTATTAAAATGAGATCATAAATTAAAATAGACTTTTTAAAAATATCCTAATTAAAATGGGATCAAAATAAAAAAATTTAAAAAAATGTATTAAAATGAGATCTTAGTACACGAATGATTAAGGTATAGTGTAGTACCAAAGAAAATCCAAATGATGGGTTTGATTATTCTAAAAGATTTTTTTAGTATAAAAAATGTGAGCATACACACTTGTTAAAGTAAACCATAAAAAGATCACATTAGATAAGGTCCTTTATAAATGACTTTAGATCGTAAAATGTACAATTAGGTCAACCTTCATTTTCATTATTTTAAGCTCACAATTGAGATTCAATGTTAAAATGAATTTTAGGTTAATCCGATATACATCGAAGAAATAAATAATTGCAAATAAAAACAAAATATCCTGAGTGCCACGTAGCTGCATTTTCCTGATTCCACGAGGACCAAGGCGGGCCCACTCTAGAGAGCGTGAAGTTCACGCCAAGGCTTKATTAGCGTCCTGAAAGAGAGCATCATGGCCACGCGCCTCCACTTCTAACTGAACGAAGAGTACGTGTGGTCCACGAATCGATAGAAGTCTGATCAACCAATGAGAAAATCCCACGTGGAGAGAAAAAATGCCCAAAAAGAGGCCGTCGTGATCAACGCAACGGTCGCATTGGAATCGGTGAGAAGCCGATCTCGAGATACGACTTGTGGCACTCGTTGATCGGATCGGCCGGAAAATCGGTTAATTTATCGAATTACGCCCCCACTGTTCCCAAGAAGCTTCTTTAGAGGAGGGAGACGAAGAGAGTACGTTTCGCCAAGTTTCTATCCACGAATCTTTTATGCTCTCTGTTCTCTTTTTCTTCGATTCTGTTTTCGTGTTTTCAAAGTTTGAATCGAACTTATGGCGTTTTTTTTTTCTTTTGTGTGCATTCAGGTGAATTTTCTGGTTGTTCACATCTGAGATCTCAGTGTCTCGTCTCTCTTTTGATCTCTTCTCTCGCTGGAGTTGAAGAAGCAAGAGCACTACAAAATGGAATGGTGGAGCAGGATGACTACTCCGCTGCGAAGCTTTTGCTGCAGCGTCGCCTCTCGTCTCGGATTCCGCAAACGCGGTGAGTGAGTTGTTTCTTATGTAAATTTCTCGTCTATTCCAAACTTTGATGGTTTCGTGTTGATTAAAATGGCTTAATTGCTCATAAATCAATGTTGACGGTTCGAATTTCAAATTGATTGRTGATGACTGTAATTAATAATTAGAATTGGTGCCAATGGGAATGTGATGATGGTATGATTTTCACTGAGAAATTCAATTGAATACTGAATTTGTGGAAATGGAGCAGGGCTACTGAAACTTGGGCGAGATGTTAGGGCTTGCGAATACGAGGACGTGCACGTGATGTGGGAGATGCTGAGGAGGAACGAATCAGAGCTCGGTGAATTCCCAGAAATACGTCGAAAGAGGAGATCCTTATGGAACATCTTTGGGTGGGCTCGATCCGCTCCATGTATTGGCACCAGGTTCTGAAGAAGCATATGTCTTAAACTCACTCACAATCGGCATACTGTTCTTGGTAAATCCAACACCATGAATTTGGGTCATATGGAAACCAGGTAATAAAGAGATTTGAAAACAATCATCTACATATATATATAAATCAGCTAAAGACGTCACTTCCATGTTAGAAACTAGCGCTATACGTAGAAAATTCACTGATTACCATGTTTACTCCAATCTTGACCGCTCTCTTCTCTCCTTGTTTCCTTATCTATGAAATAATAATTCAACTAGATTTGGGTGTATGCCTCATATAATTTCATGTTATGCATATATATATATATATATATTTTGTTTACGGATCCTCTGCCTTCCATTTCTTCTTCTTCTTCTTCTTCTCCTTCTTCTTCTCAACTCCTGAGTAGAGCTAGCTGACAGTGACAAACATTGATTGTTTGTTATTCTGGGTTTGTGTAAGTCTACAATTTTATTTCGTGCAAGCATTACTTTGAAGAGAATAATTGTTTATAATTTACCAATTGAAACTGAAACACCCAATTTAGAGTGGCGCATTCTTCTTTCCCAAACAGAATTTGTGTTGGATATTGTATTGGGTCTATATCAAAACATTCTGTGGCTTGATCCAAACTTGTTGTAATTGAAATCTAGAAGGTGAAGGGAATTGTTTTAAAGGAGTAGGACCCTGGCGTTGCGGTGGAGAGACGATAGTACCAGTAGCCATAATTTATTTTCAATCACACGTTTGTATAATGTTTGTGGTGTCGCATCGCAGACTCGTCGACGTTTTCTATGCTGTAGCAGTAGCTGTATGATGGAATCGGGATTCAGTACCACATGCAATTTTCTAAGAAAACTACCATTTTCGGCCCTTCGCAGTTTGGCTAAACTCCGATTACAATAATTATTGATAATAATGCGTTTTGCCCCTGTCATGTGATGTTCTTACAAGCAAAATGTATAATATAATATATTTTACTAATTAATTTCTTAATTCCCGTCCCCACATTTTGAACTTAAAAAAAAAAATGAGTGCACTAAATTAGCAAGTTTGAATTTGGTTTATGTTTTAAAAAAGGTTTAATTTAGTTTTAGTTTCCATGATTTGAATTTAGGCTAAATTTGATTTATATGGCCAGTCTCATAGTTTCAAAAGTTTTGTACCAATTTTTTATTTGGGTTTTCCATTTGGGTGTGTGTTAGTGGAGTGTATTAAAATTTATAGGAAAAAGAGTGAGTATTTTTAGATGTTAAAATACAATTTAGGAAAAATTTGTAATATATAATTAAACCATAGGAATCAAATTTATAGGACCGAATTAGAATTAAAACCAAAGTTATATTTAACTAAACCCTAGTGATCAAGTTGATAGGACCGACATTAAAATTAAAATCTAAGTTATAAGGATCAAATTGAAATGAACTAAATTTTAAATTTTAAACTAGGGACCAAAATTAGAAGGATGAAATTTGTGATTTCTAAAAATACTTTGYTATTTTTTTAACCAACTGCCATTTTGAGTTGAAACATATAAAACTAAAATAACGTCCATATGTATAAAAAAAAAGTCCATAAAATTGAAATTAAATCAAAATTTTTATTTATTAAAACATAACAAATTTTGAATTAAAAATAACTTATTTGCTTTTTATAAAATAATCTTTGGACCATTCCTCATTTCATCTAAAGCTCAAATTACCTCGCTGTTTTACCATGGTTAAAATGCAGAGAACATGAGCATAATTAAAAAAAGGTCTTGATCCCTACCTTATAATACCTACATATTTATAAAAAGAAAAAGAAACTGTAAAGATGTTATTCCATTAAAATTTATTACATATGTCATAAAAAAATTATTAATCATAGACAAACTTTTGAAACATGTCATTCCAATAAGTATCTCAGGCATTTAGAATAAGAAAAGTCACCAAGTTTCTAATATCTTTGGAAAATATATATTATATTTATGGCATCTAGTAAAACTAAAAAAATATTGCTTCTATCAGTCACCCCCAGCCCGGGGCAGGGTTGTGCTTTATGGGATAAAACGGTGCGTTGTAGGGGCATTTATTGGATTTTTTTTCTTTATAATATTACTTATTATCTTGAGAAATTTGAATATATGACACCTCCCTACGACATTCTTTTGAAAAAACCTAATTTGTGGCCACACCTCCTCTTCTATTTAACTTCTTCAATTTTCTATCTTTGAAAAATTTCATTTTTGATATATTAAATTTTCACCTATTTATTCTATCAAATTCTAAACTCACGTTTTACCTATGGTTTGAACTCCAAAACAAACAAACTTCATGTTATTTTCACTTTTGAAAAGTTAGGTATGTTACACTTTCAACATTTTTACTTTAAAATTGTTGAAATTATTTGAAATATTTCCCCATCAATATATTAAGCTGGAACGAAGTTCTTAGAAAAAAAACGTGGTTCAGATTGTTGTCTTGGATCAATATCCGGTYCGGAATTGAATAATTCAATCTCGCATTCAATTCCGGTGCAATTTGGTTCGGGACATGATCCGGGACACATTTTGGACTAATCTCGAACCAAKATTGGTCCGAGACATCTCCCGGACCAAGATTGGTCCAGGATGAAGCAAAATTTTTATTTTATTTTATTTTTTTTGTTAACCATTTTTTTATCTCACCTAGTTTTATTCGATTTGCAGGATTGAGTACGAGATTGAATATGGAAAACGATTCTTCTATTTTCGATATCTAGAACCCTACAATCTACCGTAAAACAAATTGGTTGCTTCAGATAGTGTCAAAAATGGAAACCTAACACTAAAAACGAAAATTTTCGAAGATTCGAGCCAATAACCTCGCTTCCTCCGAGATCCAAGACAACGATGATGTTCGTTGGTGATGGTGGATGCAAAACATTGGAATAGATGGAATAGAATGTTCACTGTGGATGGAGGGAGACGAAGGGTCCAAGAATAGGGAGGAAATGGATGAGACGAATGGTCCGAGAATATAGGTTTAAGGTTTTATTTTTGGGAATGTAGGAAGAGGAAAGATTCGAGAATCAAGAKGGAAAAATGTGGAATTTGAAACATGAGGATAATAGAGTAATTTCACTCCTACAAAATTTGAAAGGATCCYGAATAAGAGTGACTAGGGTGACTGGAGTCGCAACAATTATGGGAGGAATCGTATATTCAAATTTCGCATAATGCTTATTCTTAAACATATTACTTATTATTAATAAGTAATATTAATAATATTAATAATATTACTTATTATTAATAATAAACAATATTAGAAGGGAAAAATGTCCCAGTCGTATTGGTATCCGCTGCTGTGTATCAACGCTTCAGCCCTCTCTAGGGCTCATTGATTCTTTCAGTTCAGCGAAGCGGCTGTCAGAGCTGCTCCAAACGGTTTCTAGGGCATCGATCGATCAACCAAGAAGACGATGGGACATTCAAACGTGTGGAATTCACATCCAAAGAACTACGGACCCGGTTCTCGGACTTGGTATGTCTTCTCCTCTATCTCAATTTTGCATCTTCACCCGAATATGCCCCTCTTCACATTGGATTTTGATTATGAACCATGTTCAACGGCTGCCCTTTTAACTGTTCATGTAATTGAGATCTTAYTGGCTCGGATTTCAGAGGAATTCGTTTAATTACCGTCGCGTTCGGCACAGATTACATGGTTCTCATAAGCAGAAACGAAATCGAAAAAATTAAGCTGATTTTCGAATGTGGCTGTATGCCGGTTTCCAATGAACTATTAATCTCCATCTTAACATCTGTGAGCTTGTTATTTGCCAGCCGAGTCTGCGGGAACCCCCATGGATTGATCCGCAAGTATGGTCTGATGTGCTGTAGGCAGTGCTTCCGTAGTAACGCCAAAGAAATTGGCTTCATTAAGGTAATTTAATTTCTTATATCCACCACCAACTTATTCACAGGGCATAGCTTCATAGAATCATATTGATAATTTCATTATTTGGTGGCCCTGCAGCAATCTACTTTTCTCTTCGCTTTGTTGCAGAGGTTATCCATAAATGTTTATTTTTGAAATCTTTGCATTCGCCATTCTGTGACATATTGGTCATGATTTTCTGATGCTGAATGGCTATAGCAACAAAACAAAATGTTGTATACTCTTTAACGATCAATTCTCTTAGTATCAGGATACAAATATATCAATTCATATGGGTGTGCTTAAATTTATGAACTTGTCTTGCAGTACCGCTGAAAATGGAGGTCTTGTCTCCTGAGGTTGTGGAGATGAGCATGCTAGAGTTATCTGCTTCTTCTTGGTGTGGGCCATTTATTATCCAAGTAAATTATCAAAAGACTTCTGTTGCACTTTACTGCCAATCTGCGTCTGTAGTGGGATTGTTTGAGCCTGATTCAGGCTTACAAATCATGTCTACACTTTTGAGTTAGTGGAATCAAAGAATATGTTTGAAGTTTCTGCAGTGGCTGTAGCAGAATGCAGCTGTGGTTATATTGTTTTATTGGCTCTTTTATGGCTGTAGTTCATCTTATTCAATATTTAAATGTTAATATTTGAAAAGTTGGTTCTGAAAATGGGCTTTTAATAGATTGGTTTATCTAACAACACGTGATGGATTGTTGAGTCGAAGATGGATTATAATAGAAATTCTTTTTATAAGTGAATATTTAGTTCAGCAGTTTGTTTGCTGAAAACGAACTCTGGAATTTCCGAATCAGAGATGTGAAGGGGAAGATGATATTTTTGGTACTAGTTACGGGCAATATGGCGATTAAAATCATATTTTAATTTCCATTCAGATAGCAGAAAAATTTGTATGCAATGCTCAACATAGTCGTCAAACTAAATAATAGGTTAATGGGTTTTGCTTCATAATTAAATTTAACATGCATCATTTTAATTTTAGTTTGATTAGGATTTACTACTTTTTTGAAATTTTAAACAATTTATAATTTCATGTGGACTGTAGCAACGACTAGTTCAGAAGTTAAGAATCATATTTTATTTTGAAGAGATTGTAATATATAGAGGCTCTTTTAAACAATGAATTGATAAAGGTAAAAAACCTGCCATAATTGGTCTCTAACTTTTTTTTTTGAAAAGAAATTGATCCCTAACTTAATTGTTAGACTTTCATTCTTAAAAAAAAAACCAATGGATGTGCTGAGCAGTGAACTCGAAAACCAGCAGAAATAATTTATGACAACTTAAAACTAGAAAATATGAATTTCGCAAAACGATGAGTTGCTTCCAAAACGCATGAAGAAAATAAATACTGTAGAGCTTTAATTAATTGAGCTCAACACCTAAATCAATACGGAAGAAAACAAAAAGTGTTAATAAAATAAATTTGGAGGTGCGGGGAATCGAACCCCGTGCCTCTCGCATGCGAAGCGAGCGCTCTACCATATGAGCTACACCCCCGATGATTTGTTGATCTTTACATTATTATATATTCGTAAAAAATCATGAGAAGTGGCGMATGGCTCGCATTCCAACGCTTGGTCGTGCATTTAAATTTGTTTTGTTCGACACCGCCGCGACATTAACTCCACACCCTGTAGTCCGACCATCCATGCCAAGTGACATGACACCATAAATTCAATTGCCATTAAAAAACTCTTCTTGTTTCTTCTATTCTTCACTTCCCGACACAAATATTATGTCAAAATATCTCCATTGTTCTTCCCTCAAGCAGTTTTGAAGGGCGAAAAGAGTGTTTGGAAGAGGGTCCTTTTTCCTTTCTTCTGGGTATCTTCTCCTTTGGAGTGTGGCGTCTTGGACTGATCTTCTTGGTCCACATTATTTGTGGGCATTTCGACATTATGAAGCTTTTTAGGTTTTCGTCGGTTATACTTTTTGTGCTCCACACATCTTTATTGGTTCTCTACTTTTCCAGCAATATCAATGCCTCCTCAAATTCGGGTAAATTTGTACAATCACATCCACTTGCTTATTTGTTTGTTTCTACGAAATGTTCGTAGCTCATGCCTCTGTTCTTTACAGTAAAAACCTCAAAATTCCCTGTTCTGTGCTTAGTTTTACCCGATGATGTTGTTGTGTTGACTTCAATCTGACTGCATTTGATCAAAGTTGGTCTCAAATGTATTTGTTTTATTATATTTGCATCCCTACTTTTGATTGTATTTGCATTGTATTTGCATCCCTACTTTTGATACTTCTACTATATTCTTTTTAATGCTTTTAAGCTGATACACTATATTCTCTTCTTGTTTCCATTTCAATAATCTCTTTCATTTGGTTTGCCACTGACCACTACCATTTTTAAGCTCTTTCTATTAGTTCTGAACTTATTAGCCTTTTCGTCCTCAAGCATTGAACTTCTGGGTTGTTTTACATACTTGAACTATTAGTTAAAATATGTTTTCTTTTACTACAAGTGTAACTCTACATATTACTGATATGTCTTTCTTGATTGCAATTGCAGACATGGCTCCGAACCACCGCCATCTCGAGTCGAATGAACGTTTATCCGCATCACCATTAAACAGGAAGCTGAAGGTTCTTGCTTTCTAATGGCTTCAAATCCCAACAACATCTTGAGATTAGATGCAACCTTCTATAACTGATATTTGTTTTTGGTTTTCAGTTGCAGGACAAGCAACATAGTAGCCCAATGAGGAGGAACACACACACGGGTGATGTAAATCTTTACGACTACCGCCCCGTTGATCCAGTTCCAAGCTCAAAGAGATCCATAAAACATGGTCCAATTGAGCATGGCTCTCCTCTGATACCCTACATTCCAAATCCTTCACCTTCCCCTCAACATCAGCCGGGCGGTTATGTGTAGAGAGCAGAAGCCATTCTCTCTTCTACTTATTTTGTATGAGCTTAGATTGTTAGCTACGTTTAACCATTGTTGTCTCTCTACTACAACGTAGATAGTCGTGCCTCGAGAATTTTTCGTGCCCGTCATGTATCTTGTAAACAACTTCCAAAATGAAGTAGGAGAATGGTGTTTAAGAGAAGAATGTATTTGTAGAACATGTCTACTATGAGAGTTGTTTTTGGAGCTTAAGAAATCTATATGGATGACCAGTGAGCCCTTTGTTGGTAGAGAGCTTTCTGCACATATTTCCAATTAAAGGATTGAAYTAGTTTCTATTTTTGTAACTTAAAATGTACCATTTGATAAGTATACCTCTTATCTACGAAAGTACTCTAGAATATTACCATTTGTGTWAAAGGTACTAAATATCATTTTAAAAGTTTCAATATTATTATTCACCTTTCCTAAATATTCCAAAAATACCATTTGAGTAAACCTCTCTTAATATTTTGAACGAAAAGTCGATGTTGCAAAATCTGGAATGATGTAGCAATTAATATCCCATGTTTGTCCTAAAAGTTTTCTTTCTAATTGTCAAASAGAGTTTGCTTCTCCATTGTCTACCGAATTCTGCATTAATCTCTTTTTTATCTAGGCAAACTTCCACGTAATTATTTAACTTTTCATCCAAAAAAAATCTATTTTTGAAATGTTTATGAAAGTTCAGAAGTAGTATTGAAACTTGAAACTTTTAAAAAAGATACAAGTATTTGGTGAAATAAGGGGCAAAATTATCTATGGTGAAAATTAGAATAGAAATTTTTAAAATTTCATCTATAATTTTGAAAAAAAAAATATAAAACGAACCAAGAGGTGCAATTGTCCTCTTCTTTTCTTCCTCCAAAATAGATGTTATTTTATAAGTTTAGTCTTGAAATGAACATTAAATTGATTGATTTTTTTTTTGGTAGAAAAATACGTATGAAGTATGAACTACGGCGATATGAGAGAATTTCAGTAATAAATTAATTTGGTTTTGCACACAATTTTGGCCATCCGTCTACGAAGAAAATGAAGAGAAGAAACGACAAAAAGTGGAGGTGCGGGGAATCGAACCCCGTGCCTCTCGCATGCGAAGCGAGCGCTCTACCATATGAGCTACACCCCCGAYGTTGTGCGTTATCTTATTTGTTTATATATATAGYTTGTYTTTGTGACTATCTGACAGCTCGCATTCCCATTCTCTGCCATGTTAGATTAGTTAATTTTACGCAGTTTCTGCAAACGCGAAGCGGACATTAACTCCTCCACAGCCTGTAGCCAATGCAGATGATTTGATAGCAATGCATTGTCGTTCTCCTGATTTATCAGCTTCTGATCGAAATAAATGCCAATCCACACTTCCACTGTTGTTCTTGTTTTAAAGGCCTCATGGACGAGCAGTTTTCAAGGGCTTCTCCGGCTAAGAATCCTTGGAAGAGGGTTTTTTTCCTTCCTTTTTTTACTGGATACACTCTCATTTTCGAGTCTGCGAGTTGGACTGATTTTGAGTCTTGTCCGCATTTTTGTCTGCATTTGCACATTGCATTATGAAGCTTTCTGGGTTTTGGGTTTTGTTTTTCTTGCTCCAGATGTCTTTATTGCTGCTTTTCTTTCCAAGCTATATTAATGCCTCTCCCAGCTCGGGTAAATTGGAAATTAATGTTTGCTTAATCACATTTTTAGTTCTTTATTTGCTTATTGATAACGATGGTCCTGCCCCCTGTTCTCTGCTCTGTTTCATCTGATGGCATTGTCATTTTTATTTGAATCTTCTGACTACATTTTAAATTAGTAACTTCCAAACTGTCTTTCTATTTGACCCCTTTGTGTTTGGGGGATCTCAGTGATTACTTCTTGTAATGGGGTCTTTTCATACTACAGTTACTGGGATTCTTTGGTTTTTTTTCATGCTAAAATTAAAGCAACTAAGTCATGTTTAGCCCTTTCACCAGCAACTAAGTCACGTTTCAATAATCAAGCGGCACATCAATTTATCTTTAATAATGTTGGTATGCTTATGTTAATTAAGGAAGTCTGCAGGTTCGATGATACATTTAAGTAGAAGTAGCCTCATCTTCCATCTGGGTTTGCCCCTGGCACAGCCATTGTCAAGTTCTTTTAAGAATCATAAACCTTTTTCTTCCTCATGCATTGAGCAATAAATTACAAATTGAGTAATTTTGCATGTCTGAATTGTGTACATACTGATCTACTGCAATTGCATGTTGATTTTGATGTACTTTTCTTGATTGTAGTTGCAGATATGGCTCTGAACCACCGCCATCTTGAGCCAAATGAATCTTTTTCTGCCATTCCATTAAACAGGAAGCTGAAGGTACTTGTTTTCTCAAGACTTCAATTCCAACCATTAATTTTTYACCTATGTCACCATCRTTAGAAAAGAACATAGTTTCTCCCTAACTAATAGCTTCATGATTAATGAGATTGGTTACAAATGTCCATAATGAATGGAATTGAAATCTGTCTTTTGGTTTCCAGTTTCAGAATGATGAATATGATAGCCCGAGAAGAAACAAGGTTCACCAAGGTGATCTAAATCTTGATGACTACCATCCCATTGATCCAGTTCCAAGTTCAAAGACRTCGGTAAAACCCGGGCCGATAGAGCACGGCACTCCTCTCCTGCCTCATATTCCAAATCCTCCACCTCCTGATCAACCTCAGCCGGGGGATTTCGTGTAGGGATCAGAAATCTCTCTCTTCTACATGTCTTAAATAATCTGAGTTTGTTCCTCATGGAAACAAACCCAACTTTTTTTATCCCGTCTCTCTTCTATTATGTAAGAAAGCTGCCTTGAGTATTGGTATTAGTATTATGTATCCTTTAAATGATCTCTCTTCTATTATCTACCAAAWCAAGGCAATGAGAACCAATGTATTTGATGATATTTCCTTCTCTCCCCTGTTTTATAATCTAGTCTCAGAAAATTAGAGGCATATTATATATGTGTTTTTTGTCTTGGATATAATTGTAGCCTGATTAATTTGTCCCATGTATTTTATCACCCTTTTGTTGAAATTGGAAGCAGAAGGGTGGAAGTGCTGTGGTAATCAACCAGAGTACCAACTCCATTGAAACAGACAGAATATCAGAGGAGATCATTTTCTTGTTCCTCAAGCTAACATTACATTATAACCACCAAGTTTGGGAGATTAAAATCCCATCAATCAACATCTAAACCAGTGTGCTTTCCTTCCACTTCAGTCTTTTTCCTACATCCTTCAATACAGCATCATGAAGGCCAATCTCAGAAATGGGCAGCCCTTTTATTTGCTCCTACTTTTTCCAGTTCTTTTTTTGCTAGTGGAATGAGTTATCATATTCATGGGCAATAAAGCACTGGGACCTCCAAAACAATCAGTCAATTTTATCCCAAGGCTGGGGGGTCATTCTCTGCCTTTCCTTTTGCAGGTTCAGAAAACGCTTTCTAAATCAAATTTTGCGGTTAATGATTAGGATGGGAAGTGGCTCTCAAACAGTGCTGTCTTGAAACTACTAGCCGGCGTCATTTACTAAGTAATTAATGTTTTAACTAACGAAACATGTGGATTAAGATAATGACCCCTTGGCTGTATATCAAATCAATTCCATGGTTTTCAGGTTTCGCTTTTGCTGTTCGTGTGGATTGTTTGGTGGACTTCTCTTGTTTGGTTGTCGAGAATCAGGRAGAAAAGGAAAAAGAGAGGAGATTTTTAAATTTTGGGTTATGTTATAAGGACGGTGGAGCCAAATCATATTCACCAAAACCAAATTTAGGTGGTGCTTGTTAGGTACTTAGAAGCTGCAGCTTGCTTTGTCATGTTCGTCTTCGTTACACATATGATATGGTACTTCTTGAGATTGAGATCTTTGAATCTAATGAGATAAAGTAAAGGGTACGTTCTTTTTCTTCTTTCAAACCCAAGGGAGGGTTAGTCGTTATTCGTTCCAAAATCGAAAATGTATTCCTGACTCGAGTAACATACAATCCTTCGAACTTACATCCACTATATCTTGAGCTAGCCTATTCATTATGGAGAATCAATGCTTCGAGCTGAATAGAGGTTACTTTCGGCACCTGGCCTTCTACGGCGTCCCAAAATGGGCGTTATGGCAAAGAACACGAAGAAAACAAGAGAAATTTGTCCAATAGTAACGAACGGTGTCGTAGCACCTTTTTCACATAGAGCAAGCAGTATTATAAATCACAGGGGGAAATCTACTCTAGGTAGACATTGTCGTACTACCTTGAAAGTATTGTGGAGCGAGAAAAGCCCATTGTAATTTCACATTATAGTAGAACCTACGATTGCAAAAGACTAGAAGTATCTCAAGTTTGAGACGAACGAGTATAAACTCTAGCGTTAAAATTTCATTACTTATCTGTGATGTACTTCGTTCTCTTTTCCAACGAGACAAATGTATGCGAGATGAAATACATTATTTTGGTAGGATTGTATATAGGAAGAAGTAGGACCCTTGTCCTTAACAAAAGAGGGCTAAAGAAAGCAAGTGAAAGAATGGGGCAGGAGGAAGCAGACAACTTGAGACAGAGCATCACAGAAAGTGATGCCTTTTCTACTTTGGCCTCAAAAACCATTGCCAAACTGTGCTGTTGGCCCTCTACCTTTATGCTGAGAATTATGTGGTGGCTGCTGCTACTTAAACTACTATTGCAATTAAACTTTTGTACTTGAACATTAATTTTCAGCCACTTTTAATTAATCAACTGATCAAGAAAAGGAACCGACTTTCCCTTCATGTTAAACAAATTATTCTCTTGCTTTAACTGGGTTGAGTTCATCTGTTCATAGTACAATTCCTTTTTAATATTAAATGAATCATACCCAAATATTTTTAATGTGACTTTATTCTTGGCTGGCAATACGGTTGAAAATCAAGTGTCTCACTCTCACTCTTTGAATTATTGAAAATCTTATGTTATTTGAAATTTTATTATTTACTGTAGTATTTGTTAGGTTCAAAGAGTAATTTAAAAAATAAATCTGATTTATAGAGGGATTATGGAAAAAGAGAATTTATCCTCTGGAGATATTTACAAAGAAAAGAAAAGGCAGAAACTTGTCCTCTATTTTGGGTCTTTAGAAATTGAGTGTGGAAGAAGGAAAGTTTACACCTTTTGAAAGTGGTCCTTTTCTGGGCCTTAAAAAAGTTAAAACATTATGCACAATTGCTGCTTACCCTATATTTACATATTTTCCCTTCTTATAAAATGGCAAATCTCTCCAATTTTCAGCCCAAAATTAGTGTATTAATCGAGATGTTGCCCTTAATTATATACTCAAATCTGATTTGATACTGATGCCATAACTAATAATTAAAAATGTCTCGATTAATTGCATCTCTATAAATGCTATTGTCCTACCTCAAGAACGTTTCTCTCTAAAACTTTTTAGTGGACTTTAGATTTGCATCCTTATTGAACTGACTCTTCATTTCTATTTAATTTATACTGTCACCATTTGAATTTGAGGTTAAGTTTCCATGATATGAAAAAATTATGGGTGTTTATGTTGAATTATGTCAAGGACCGAATGTCGACCACTCCTCACCCGGACGAACTAGGATGGAGCAAGCTATGCAATGAAAAATCTATGCAAAAAGAACCAACAACAACATTCTGAAGTTTAAGTAAGTCTAAACTCGAGCTGGGCAAATCAAACAAAATAGTGTACCTGAAAAAGAGGGCTGGATGTTCTTAGGCAAATGGGGAGGGTCAATCCATTATAATTGTCTCGACAAGCGGTTAGGTGATTACGAGTTGTCAGGCCAAAGTTCAACATTACCAAAGTTCAAAAACATGTCTTTATGTAGATCTTCTTAGTTACACACGAGCTTCAAATGCGCTAAGGTGTAGGTCGGAATGTATTGTTTGAATGAACAAGTTGAGAATAGATCCCCAATCTATATTGGTTGGTCCACGTGGCAGGTCGTATTTTGCCCCCAACAMTTAGAAAAGTTAGTTTGCCTTTACTTCCCTTCACTTTATTGTAGGATATTTTTAGACAATACAAATTAAACTTGTGAGCGGGTAAAATTGTATTCTCAATAAAATATTTCAACATATACTAGTTTGTGTAGTATCTTATTGGTCCTATTATAATAATTAAGATATCTTTTATTTTCTCCTATTTTATACCAAGAAATTTACATATCTTTAAAAGAAGCAATCAATTCATGAGCTTCAAACAATTCAATTCAATTGAGATTCAAAATCTTTCATGATCATCATTAATAATTGTAACTTATAAGTTTCCCTAGCTTTMAGCATTGAGACACCTTTAACTTTCATAATATATATAGAAAACACTCTCTTTCCCCTTCCATTTTAATATATAAGTTAGTTAGTAATGGATTTTCTCATTAATAATCACAATTAACCACCAACAGTTCTTTCAGAATAAAGCAAACTTCATAGCGATCATCCAAGTTGGAAGAAGAAGCTATTCATGGAAGTTGGAACAATTAATAAATCTTTATACCTCATCAATAATCACATGTTGCACCCAACCCTTTAGTTAGTCAATAATATATTTATTATAAGTGCGACACCTATGTATATATTTTTGTCAATATCTTCTCGATTAAAAGAGAGAATCTCTTTGTACAAAAAAAAAATCGAAAAAAAGAGTGAATCTCCTTTAATTAAAAAATAAAAACGAAATCTCTAGGGGCCTATTTAGTATCTTTCATGTCTTTTGTTTTCAGTTGTCGAGAAATACATATGTTGGATAACTGTCCAAGTTTCTTATTTCTTGTTTTTTTTCCAAATAAATAAAACGTAACATATTTAATATTTAATTTAAAATTTTAATTTTCATATAAACTTTCATTTAAAAAAAGTTAAATGGTAAAGAACAACAAACAAAAAAATAAAGTGTTATCAAACATATTTATGATATGTTTCTTTTTCAGTTGAAAAGGTAATAAACAATAAATAGTTACCCAATTTTACTTTTCTTTAATAAAAAATAAAAAATAAAAAATAAAAACATTACTTTTTTCTTTTAATACAACAAATGTAGCAATAGTTTGAGGGATTGAACCTCGGACTTCTAAGGTAAGATACCTTAATTAACTATTAAGCTGCGTTTATGTTGACACAAAAATGTTACCTAACAAACCATAATTAATTTGATAGTGTGAGATTCATAATTAGATATTAGAGGGTTTGTTACATAAATGTTTGAGTTTGGAAGAAGTTCTTAAATTAGAAATGAAAATAAATGTTCACAGAATTTTCAACCAGAAAGCTTAGGATTATATGAGAGAAATAGAGATTAATTTAAAATTAATAAACTTTTGGTTGATTGCTTTTATGAAAAGGTGGAATGTTTGGTTTAGCATTTTGGTAATTGCTTATAATATAATAATGCTAATTAATATGACTAATTTGCTAAGTAAACCATATATTTAATTAGAAATTAATCAACCCTTTTCTTTAATGACATTCCTTTTGCTTTCCCAATCGTGTGCCTTAATCATTTATAAAAGTAATATTGGGTTAAAAGTAAAGGGGAAAAAAGAAAARAAAAAAAAAAAAGGCTAAAAGGACTCGCTCCTTCTCAAGCAAACCATATTTTACACTAAGCCATATGTTATTATTATTTATCATCATTATTACGGAAGGAAACCGTTTAAAGATATTATGCTTTTTAATTCGAATAATGGTTCTTTTCAAAATAATTGAATTATGGTTTTTCCTTCAATTTTTTTTAATAATGGTTTTTGAAGTGAAAATGATTATTCATCTATGGTTATTTTTTGATGAATTTAATCAAATTGTTTCTTAGTTTGCACTGCTCAAAGTGCTGAAAATCCTATCTAAATGCTTTGTTTATATGTTCTCCTTCAACTCGACGAATTATAAAGATATTATATTTGTGTGACGTTGTATATCAGTCGTTTGTAGGATATATTTATTTTAGTGCTTAAAATTAATATATCCAAATATCTTGATTATATATTAATAGAGGACATAATTGAAATTTTTGGAAAAAAAAAACCAAATTATGGAGTTTCTATGGTCCTCTCTTTAAATAATTTAATGGATGAAAAAAAGTGCACATATGTCGAAATAAATAAAATTTACTGAAGTTTGACATTTGTGTTAATTTTGCTCTCCATCGTAAAAAATATTCTAAAATTAAAGCCAAAAAGTTGAGTTTGTACCATACCATCATCTATTTTAACCCTAGACATTTAATTCTATCCATTTAAATCGTACCATTTATTAAAATAATTGGTAAAATTTAAGATATTGTAGTTAGGTAGAGTTTATTTGATATCATTTCAAATTTTAATTCTTACTTTTTTAGATTCACTCAATCAAATCTGTGACATCTATATTTAATTTTTTTTAATTATGTAATTTAGTTGAAATTTTAAAATAGTATTTTTAATATTTTCATTTTTTAATTAGAAAATATAAAATTAATATTTTAAGTCATTGGACTAATTCTTTAATACTAATAAGTTTTTCTTTTTAATCTGAGATTAGTTAGATTTCTAATTAGTTGGTTAATATTCTGTATTGGAGTTGTTACTCTTGTTTGACATCTATTAATCATTTTTTTCTATTTGTGATATTTATTAACCGTTTTTCTCTTATTTGTGACATTTGTTAGTCATTTTTCTATGATGTGTGACACGTGTATAAATAGGTGTACGGTACATAATCATAAGTTATTTTACCACATTTTATCTTTTCTGTTTTGATATTTTCTAATAAAAAATTATTTAACTTTTATTAGTTGATGTGATTTTATTATAAAATATTATAATATTATTTTTTGTTAATATTAAATTAATTATTACGATAAACAAAGGTTAAGATACTATTTTAATCTATATTCTTTTAACTTTGGTTCATTTGATCCTGGATCTATTTTCAAAATGATCATTTTGGTTCTTGTAACTTTTATCCACTTTAGTCTTATATACTTTAAAACAACATTTACGAGTAACAGAATCAGTTAAAATTTATTATTATTTTAGTAAAAAAAAATAATATTAGCACACCATTATAGCTAATACATTTATAATTAGTTAGAAATAAGAAAATAATAGTTTAGTAATGGTAATGTATCCCATTTCTATTTCTATTTCAAATAGTTTTAACAAACAACATCAAATTTCTGATTCTGATTTCTGAGTTCGAAATTTAAGTGTTTTATTATTTAAATTTTGTATGATCTATTAATTTTGAGAAGATATTAATTGTTGAGATACGATTCAAGATTAGGGTTTAATTTAATGAAAACAAAAGTTGAAAGTTAAAATTAGCATCCATAGAAATTGTATTTTTCCACAACTAAATTACACTAAATACATAATTTAGTCCAGGGCTTACTGTTTTATAATTTATTAGGAAAAAAAAGCTATTAGTTTTTAATAAAGACAATGTAATAATTTAATAGTAGGAATCGACAAATATTTTTATAAAAGTTTAGGATCAAAATACTGGATTAACACATCAAGTAATTTATCGAAGCATTAGCAATCTCAAATATCGAAGTCAGTACTTTAACCTAAAGAAAATATAGATGGACTTTCATCCAAACTACACTACTCTCATTTTTCTCTCTTGTTATATTCTAAATCTTGAGATTTTTGTATAATTAATTTCGATTTTCGTCAAGGCATTGTCACATCGGGAGAATGAAATCACTTGCAATAAAAAAAAATTTCTTTTTTATTTTGTGGATGGGAATTAATTTTGATGATTTGACCACCGCACCACCCCATATAAAAGTCGTTACATGCTTGGTACTATATAGCGTTTTATCTTGGAACATCTCAACAATCTAAACCTTATTATGCCCTATCACCAACTAGACAATGATGTTGTGGAAATTTTTAGATTCTATAAATGTTTCTTTCCCTACCAAATGTAATTTTAAGTATATTTATATAAAAATAATATCCCTCTTTCTTTAATTATTTTTATCTATAGTTTCGTTAAATGAACTCCAAACTTGATATTAAAATATAATTTTAGAAGTTGATATTAGCTGAAAAATGAGCCATGGACATGGAGTGCGCAGGCTATATACACGTGGCAGTGGAGACCAACTCCACTGCGAACATATGACCAACGGAAGAAGTAACGTCAAAATGGCAGTGGTGTATAGGCGGCCTCGCAACGCTTGCAACAAGATCAAGGTGGTACGTAATGGCGACAACACAACGCACTAAGAATGTTCCTTAACAACTCGCCAATGGCCGTATACGAATGGGGCTCACCATACCCCACCTAACCAAATAAGTAAAAAATTTGTCACTCACTCAATATGCTAAGTGTTTTTCATTACTTCGTCTCTTTCGATTTATTAATTTGATCATCTGAAGACCTTAGGTAGGGCACTACAAGATTTGCAGAATGACTTGTTCGATAGTCTCATGGAAGGACATGCACTAGTCTGAAAATTTTGAATTAAATTAAATTTATATCGATAAAATATTAATTTCAGTAATCTATTTTTTTTTTTTTAGAGAATGAATTATTTTTGTCTCCCCAAGTTTGAGGATGAAAATGAGAATTTATACCGTTGGTTTACTTTTTTTGGCTAGGAATTAGCATAAGTTTACTTGAAAAACAAACACGGGATATTTGTGAATGGATTTTATTGTACATTTGTCAGAATTTTGTGTAACGTCTCTTCCAAGGTTCAATGACCTCACCTTCACTTTAGTCTCTATTTTTCCAGCCCCCCAAAGACGCGCCTCGCGTGGGCACCACGACCCAACCAAATCATCCGTTGATTCCCATAAATACCCCTGGTCTGAATACGTTGCTGTAGTTTAACGCGAGTACTGGGAATCCAAACGAACTCCGCGAGTACAGGATTCTCTGTTAACGAATTGATAGAAGCTGCAAACAGGGTGCTAAGGGAAACGGTTATGCTCCTAAATCTCGCCTACACCAACTCCCATTCTCCGTCGCCGGCCAACTGTTACGATCACCGTCCCCGTTCCTTAAATTCTCTCCTAATTACATTTACCCGCCATTAATTCTCCTAAACCCACTCTCACTGCGCATCTCTCTCCTCTAATTCTCCCCCGGAGTCCTTTTTTTTTCTTCCTTTCCTCTTATAGCTGGCCTTGAAGATCCTTCGCTCTTGTTTATGGCGGAATCTTTGAAACATAGTTAGGGTTTGTGGAATGGGAGGTGGATTTGTTTCTGAATGCGAGCAATGGTAGCTGCCGTATCAACGACGCTAAACCCCAAGGATGCCGCCCAGAAAGGGCCTCATCTTCATCCTACGCGACAGAATTCGACGAGAATTCCTCTATTTCCGTCCGAGTCCGACAATGCAATCGATCCGCGCAAGCCGAAAGCTCGGGAAGTCACTTCTCGATTCATGCCCTCCTCGAACTCCTCTTCCTCGGTCTCGGTTACGAAACGGTCTCCTTCTCCTTCAGTCTCTAGAACTTCCGGTTTAGCCGCTACGCCGGCTCAGAGTGGTCCGTCGCTCAACAAGCGTTCGGTATCGGTGGACCGAAGAAGAGTTGCGGCTCCTAGTCCTAGGCCTCATTCTCTGGATTTCAGGACTGGGAATGATAATTGTGGCCTGGGCGATGTGCCTGTCTCTCAGAAGTTATTGCTTACTTCTACGAGGAGTTTATCTGTTTCATTCCAGGGCGAGTCCTTCTCTCTGCAAGTTTGTAAGGCGAAGGCGGCTCCTTCACCAGGTGTGAGAAAGGGTACGCCTGAACGGAGGAAGTCGACGACGCCAGCGAGAGGCGGCGGTGTTGGGGACAAAACAGAGAACTCGAAGCTTGTTATGGATCAGCATAGATGGCCCAGTAGGTTGAGGCAGGCTAATTTTATGAGCAGGAGTTTGGATTGTGAGGACATAGCCGAGAGGAAGAGGATTAGTGGTGGATCTGCGAATGTGGTTAGGCAGTTGCAGAATTCGATGGCTCAGGGGAGAGCTTCCTTTGATGGAGTTTTGAGCTCAGATTCTGTAAATGGAGGACTGGAGAAGGCGGCCGAACATGTTGTCGACGGAAATTCAGCAATTGTATCTGATAATTCCAATACAGTGTCCTCTGATTCTGATAGCGTCTCTTCAGGTAGCAATTCTGGAGCTCAAGAGTATAGTCCTGGCGAAGGACAGGGGCAGCGGGGACCTCGCGGGATTGTAGTGCCGGCCAGATTTTGGCAGGAGACAAACAACCGGTTGCGGCGCGAAAATGGTTCGCCACTGTCCAAAAATGTCGGGGTAAGAACGTTAGCTCCTTCCAAGGTTACCGCGCCAAAGAAGTTTGCAATTGATAGTCCCACATCATCTCCACGCGAAGTTGCCAATAGCAGAGGACAATTATCTCCCATTTGCGGTTCCCTTATGCCTGTGTCACCAAGTAGGCTTTTAGCATCATCCACAGCACCCCGGGTGAGGAATGCTGTGGGAAGTACACCTCTTAACAGTTTGAGCAACATGCCATTATCAATGACAAGTTTTGTTGCTGATGCTCGGAGGGGGAAGATTGCGGAGAACCGGATAGTAGATGCACATTTATTGAGGCTCTTACATAACCGGCTCTTGCAATGGCGTTTTGTAAACGCCCGAGCAGATGCTGCCCAATCCGGCCTCAGGTTGAACGCAGAGGTAGGCTTCGCTTCTTCTCCCTCGTGCGATAAGTTGCTCCTTTGAGCTAAAAACCCTGTTATCTTTTTTTATTTTGAGTTTTGGGGGAGGGGTTGTTGGCCTTTTCTTTGGGGTTTTCTTTTTAAAGGATTTTTTTTTAAAATTATATTCTGTTCCATGTTCTTTTGGTCGCAAATCTATGGATGCTGGTAAGTTGACCGTTCAACAATGGTTGGGTTTTATTGTCTCTTTATTTTTTCCATGGTTGAATAATTCAAGGAATATTACTTAGAGTTACATTGGTATATTTGCACAGAGAAGCCTGTATAACGCATGGCTGAGTAGCTCAAAGCTTCGTGAATCTGTTAGAACAAAGAGATCGGAGTTGCAGTCATTGAAGCAAAAACTAATTTTAACGTCCATCCTCAGCTGGCAAGTAAGACTAATATTCTATTTTTCCTTCTTCATTTTTTGCCAGCGTCATCTAATGTATTCTGTAGTTTTTAAAGAAATTTGCTCTCCCTCTCTCATCTTCTTCTTCTTCTTCTTCTTCTTCTTCTTCTTTTTTATGGAAGTTGCTTTTGGACGTTCATATTATGCTATTTTAGCTATTTTTTATTGCTTTGTCAATTCTGAAGCTATGGAAGCATCCCCACCTACATTTATAGTATTTATTGGAACTGGGTTGTTAGGAAATGGCTCTAAAGTGTTTTTGTAAGATTATCCGCCAAAGTTACTATTATTACTTCATTTCCTAAACTAGACCCAAACTTTACCCTTTACCGGTTCTTTGCTTGAATTTCTTTTCAACAGTGGCTAATACTGTTAGGATTATGTGAGGCAAGACTTGGGATTTCAGTTCTGCAAATGTTGTTTTTTCTGCTTTCTGTCTTGCTCTTGTCTGATTTACCACTGTTTCGTGAGAATAGATGTCGCATTTGGAAGAGTGGGATCGACTGGATCAAGACTTCTTCAACTCTCTATCAGGTGTTACTGAAGCTTTGAGGGCGAGTACCCTTCGCCTACCAGTTGTTGGAGCAGCAAAGGTGAAGTTTGTGTTATTGTCTGTGAGGGGGGGTTAGTTGGCTATGTGGTTGGCCATTCCATTGATTTGACTGTCTTAATTAGTTTTCTTGATATTCCTTTTCCTTTATACTACAGGCGGAAGTCCAAGGTATTAAGGATGCAATTTCTTCAGCCGTTGATGTGCTGCAGACAATGGCATCATCAATTTGCTTTCTATTATCAAAGGTGATGATCGTCATTTTTTAATGTTTCCATTTTCTTATTATAGATTTTGGAGCTGTAAAATTTTGCTAGTTTATATGTTAAATTTGTTCCCATAGCTTCTTGGGATAAGCATGGTTCAAGGGATTCTACATGATGCTTGCACATTTGATACTTTGAAATCATATGATAGTCATGTTTGATGAGAATAAGATTTCAGGGAAAAAACCAGAGAATTGTAGATCGTTCTTTTAAAATTTATCCATATAAATAGGATATGAACGACCTTACTTGAACCTAATCTGTTCGTTGTACTACTATGTCCTTGAATTCTATGATAGGATAGGATCTTTTTTCTCTTTTTCTTTTGATGAATAATTCATTAAACAAGAAAAGGTTACACTAGAAGGAAAGAGGAAGATAAGAAACCTACCCAAGTATTTGGCCAAGGAGCTGCAAAAAGAAGCTAAAAACAAGCCAGCCCCAAAATTTCCTAAGCATATCTGTACTTCAATTTTTTAGTTCATAGTAATAGCTTGACTATCATTAAACCAAAGGATCCTTGCTTTTTCCCCAATGGAAAACCAGTCAGCAGTTAAGTAAGGAGGTTAGAGAATGCATCGGTTATTGCATCAAGATATCCCAAAAGTGATGAACAACAGCCTCCATAGGACTCTAGAAAATGGGCTTCATAATTAGATGCTCCATTTAAGAATGCTAATATTAGATCAACTGGGCAGATCTTTATCAGATAGGGAGTTGGAGGATATGGCTTCTCTTGTGGGATATCCTGCGACATGTGGTTTGCCAACAAAAACATGCAGGATAACAGTTGGTGAAAGCTCAACCACTTGGGGATTTTTTATTGAAGATCTAAAGGAAACCTTTTGATAAAATGCAAGAATATTATGGAGGGGTCAGTTCTTCAATATCCGAAGATTCATAATTTTCAAGAAAGTGAGGCACTGAGGTTCTTCATTTGGTCACTTTACCTTGGGAAAGTCAATTTTGGTGATTTTATCCAAAAGGAAAACCCTAATCTGGCAAATTCTCCCTGCTACTGCAGCCTATGTAGGAAGATATGAAAGCTTAGAATCTTTTGTTTTTCAGCTGCA